GAGCAAGTTTTTATGGAACAACCTCCAGGCTTTATTGACAAACAATACCCCTCACATGTTTGTCACCTTCGAAAAGCACTTTATGGCTTAAAACAAGCTCCTCGAGCCTGGTTTGACCGTTTAAGTATATTTTTATTAGAACTTGGCTTCTCTTGTAGCACTGCAGATCCATCACTATTTACCTACCATAAACACCAAGGTACGCTTCTTCTACTTATCTATGTTGATGATATGATCTTAACTGGGAGCAATTTAAACCTTGTTGAATGGTGTATTAGTGAACTATCAAGAGAACTTGCTATCAAGGACCTTGGGAACTTACACTATTTTCTTGGAATTGAAGTGCATGCTAACAAGTCAGGACTTTTTCTTTGTCAATCTAAATATGCCCGTGAGTTACTTCAGAAGGCTCAAATGGTAGGGTGTAAACCCATCTCTACACCTGTGGCCATAAAAACTCGTTCCTCTTCCTTAAAAGCTGGTGATTTCCAAAATCCCACTTTTTATCGAAGCATCGTTGGAGGTTTGCAGTATCTTACCTTTACTAGACCTGATCTTTCCTTTGCTGTAAATCATGTCTCACAGTTCATGCATGCCCCTACTCTGGATCATTTTCAATTAGTTAAACGTATTTTACGATATCTAGGTGGCACACTTGATTATGGAATGCGTATTTCTAATCAAAGCACACTAGAATTATATGCTTTCTCAGATGCAGATTGGGCTGGTTGTCCACTAACCCGAAGGTCTACTACTGGCTTTTGCACTTTTTTGGGAAGTAACTGCATTTCTTGGTGTGCCAAAAAGCAGCCGATTGTAGCAAGATCAAGCACAGAAGCTGAATATCGTTCTATGGCATCTACAGCAGCTGAACTCACTTGGCTTGCTAGGCTCTTTATTGATATTGGTTTGCTACTCTCTAACCCTCCTATTCTTCATTGTGATAACTTAAGTGCCCTTTACATGACTGTTAATCCTGTTTTTCATGCTAGAACTAAACATATTGAAATAGATTATTATTTTGTTAGAGAAAAGGTTGCTTTAGGAAATCTGATTACTCGTTTTGTTAAATCAGAATCACAATTAGCAGATCTATTTACTAAACCTTTGCCTAGAAATTGCTTTAAACAGTTATGTGTCAAACTTGGCCTCTGCTTTATGCCACGGCCTAGTTTGAGGGGGAGTATTGGAGAACAAACTAGGGAAAATCAAGCAAACCCAGGCCAGAAGATTGAAGAGATTCAAGGACATAAGCATCAGGAGAAAATCAAGGAGAGCAATATCAGGGAAGAAATCATTCAAGTCAGCAACGGTAAAGAAGTTAGTCAAGCTCCTAAAAATGAGGGAAATATGGAGACTAACAGAGTAATTCCAGAGAGAATTCAAACTGAAACAAAAGGAAAGAATCCCACAATAATTCCAATATGACCGTTGGACACTAAATATATTCTGCATTCTTTGTATCTGGTATCTGGTATTGATAGCAATGATTCCTAAAATCATGCCACAATGTAAGGTGCTGTAAAATATTATAAATAGTTGAAATATAGCTTTCTCTCCTCACCTCCAGAGAAACTTTCATTGATTCTGGTTTTATAAACCTCTTTAAGCCATACAACAGTAGGGGATTTAATTCAATTATTAAATCTGCTCTTTTGTTTTTGGTGAACACTAATGGAGTGCATAGTAGGGCAGTCTTTGGGAAACATCGGGGATTTCACTGGACATCGACATAATTGGTTGCCATGGCTTCTGCTTTGAGCCATCATTTTCAGTACCATTTTTAATTGGAGAAGCACGATGGGATCGATATTAGGATGGCATGCCTCTAAGAACGTATCTCTTTTCTTTTTTTCTTTTTTACTTTTGTAAAGATTTTCCTAAGATACACTATAAACAGATATACCAAAGGAGAAGTTAATGTTAATTTTTATATTTTAAGTATTAATTAATATTAAAAATATATATTATTATACCAAGAAACCTTTTTTGAAATTAAAAAAAATTATGTTTTATGTTTTTAAAGCAAGGGAAATAAAAAAAATTTATATGATTCTAATTAAAAATTTGAGGATGATCAACTCATAAAATAAAGTAATTTTTGTTATTCTATTTAAAGTTAGCATCAGAATCTTAAGAAAACCTGTTTCAAGTGGTAAGTAAAATTCTAAAATAAAAAAAATTAGTTTGAATTTTAAGATTGATTGGAATGATTTATAAAATGAATTTTTATTTTATTTTATTTTATTTTTTTAATTGACAAGATGATATTTTAGAATCAATCTTTAGTTACATAAATAAAAAAGAATGGTGGAAAAGGAAAATATATACAATAAAAATGGATTAATTTTTCATATAGATATTTTTAGTTTATTTTCAAAAACAGGAAATTGTAACCTTATTTTTGGGCAAATCCCTCTCTAAGAGGCATGGGGGCAGACCATACATAATCAAACGTTGGAAAAGTGTTTCTTGATGAAATCAGAGTAGAGATTCATTCAGCCATCAGGTTCAGGGTTAGGATGGGTGGTTGTGGTTGACCGTGGTTCAATGCCGGCTTTGATATTTGTGCATTCTTTGGTTATTTTATCAGAAGTATTATTAATGTGACATAATTTGGACGTACTTGTCTTAAACTCGCAAATCCGACTGCTCTTATTATTATTATTTTTTTTTGAACGGTGTATAATTTGAGGGATAAAAGAAGAGAATTTTCAAGACAATAATAGAATTTAAAATTTTAATCACCTCACCAAAATACTTTAAAAGTTTGGATTGAATTATTGAACCTAAATGTTTAATTCAACTGCTATTATTCAGTCTGCTCCTCTTGACTGACATAGAGTGACTGAAAATGACATATAAAGTAGTATTATTCATAATTTTTCTAATCTAGTATCGAGTTGCACTTCAAAGTTGGAATGGTGGTTATACTTAAGTAATTTGGTGGGATGTAAAATAATTCAACTGCTATTATTCAGTCTGCTCTCCTCTTGACTGACATAGAGTGACTGAAAATGACATATAAAGTAGTATTATTCATAATTTCTCTAATCTAGTATCGAGTTGCACTTTAAAGTTGGAATGGTGGTTATACTTAAGTAATTTGGTGGGATGTAAAATACAAATTTTTTTCTTTTTTCTTTTCATGATGGTAGCCAAAAAGTTTTCGATCATTCATATTTAGGTTAAAGAAATTTCTTTTTAGACTATGATGTGCTAGTCTTAAGTAAAAATAATTTGATTTTTTTAAAAATAAAATTTTAAATTTAAATCTTATAAATAAAAAAATAAATTTGAAAAAAAATTTTCTTCTATAAAATTTGATTTTGTTTGACTCCATATTAATTGAGATTTATTGTGACTTCTAAATATTAGGAGTTCATAAAAAAAAAAAGAAATTTCTTTTTATCAAAAAACATAGGTCATGGTGCAATTCAATCAAATTATTAGCAAATAAAATTTTTGAATTTAATAATTTATTTTGGAGAAAATGTATAAATAAGTATACGAACTTTATGTTTTTTTTTATTTAAGAATGTTAACTTCATTAATTTTATTAATTTCTAAGTAAAGATATTAACTTTTAATTTTTTTCTATTTAAAGATATCAAAATTTAACTTTAAACTCTAAACTTTTTTTATTTAAAAATATTAATCTTTTTTAAAAAGTCCACTTTTCATGTCAACATCACTATTTAATTAATTTTTAAATAAAAAAAATAAAAAGTAAAAATCCTAAAAAAAAAAAAATTAAAAATTAATATTTTTAAATAAAAAAATTAAAAATTAATATTTTTATTTAAAAACTGACAAAATTAACATTTTTAAATAAAAAAAATCATAAAATTGACATCCTTATTTATACCTTTTCTCATTCATTTTGCTTGAAAATTTTAGGTAGATTATTGTTTTTGGTATTAAAAACTAATTAAAACTGTGATATGTTTGTTATTATATGATTTTTTTTTTATAGGAGAAATGGTTAGAAATTAAAAATTAGATTAATACCTTACTCTTGGTAAAGTTCGATTACTGGTCAGGTGCAATCCACCTACGGTTTTATTGGGCTGCAGCGGCCACCAATAAATCACAACAAGGGGAATGCTATTTTATGATTAATTAATGGACTGGCTCCCGTGGTCTCCAAAGTCACTAAGCCACACAATTCTTTGGGTTGGATTTGGGTCCAAATAAGCTAATGGGTTTAATTTTGAGATGAACATGGACCACGTACTTGCTAACCCACTTAACGCATCCTTTTTCACTTTTAACTAAAAAAAAAAAGAACGAACTTTGAAATTTGAATAGCAATTTTTTTTTTACAATAAAAGAAGTAATTTTATCTCATCTCTCAACTTATTTTATAAATTTTTTATTTTTAAAAAAATTATTATTAAACTACATAAATTGTAACCAAAATTTGAATAGTTCTTTTTGGTAAAACTTAGCTTATCAAATTCAAAGCACTACTAATAATAGTTTGTTTGAGTTTATTTCCATTAATGTAGATATTTTAATTTAGGACTAAAGTTAGAGTTTCGAAAAGAACTAACTCTCTGATTTACCAAGAAAAAAAATTTTCAAAGTAGGTATAATTATAAATAATTCATTGGACATTTTCTGCTTCAAAAACATTAGAAGCCAAAATATGGGACCAACTTACTAACCAGCATTCAATGACAGCCTTTCAATAGATAGATAAAGAATAATAATAAATAAAATTAAAATTT